TACTCATCTGAAAGTAAATACCTGTATTTTGAATCTAAGATGTTCTTTTTCATATTGGTCTCATGCAGTATCTAGCACATTACCTTGTGTTAATGCTCAATAAATAATAAATCACTTTTTCTTTTAAACTCCATTTTTAAACACACTAAATAAAGTAAGAATTAATTTAAGCAGATCTATAGGAGTCTTCCAACTTGAGAGATACAAAAATCCAGGAAATATATTGGTAGTGAAACAGGATAAGGAAAAATACGTAGATTGGGCTGTCAAAGATGAGGAACAAAGGGCAGATTATAAATGTGTAATTCCTATTCAACACAACAATGACCAAGATAATTTTCATAAAGGTTGAAGGAAGTGTTTCCTTTAGTCTTATTAAAATACATGGTTTGGTCATGAAGACATTGCTAGGCTATGAATCCCAGACACTGATTACGTGTTGACTGCCTAGGAAGAGTCCACCAATGAGTCTATGATTCCACAGGTGACTAGTAATGAGTTTCATAAAAGAATAACTTGAGTTAGGATATGTATTTCCTAAAGAAATAAATGAATGAATTCCTAAATAAATGAGAAATAACAAATTTTGAACTTATCAAAATGCCCTATCAACATTCTGTAATAAATGTGTGATTTAGTTATATGCCATTTTGGCTTTCAAAAAGAAATGAGTGAGTCATAAGGTACATTTGTTTTAGGTATTTTTAAGGCTTCTGTTTTTGATTCCTTTGAAAGATTAATTTTCCATTAATCAACATTCTTTCCGCTTAAAATTTACATTAGAATATCCCTAAATTACTAAGCTTGACTTAGTCTCTGACATATGTATTACATATTTTCTATCATGTCTACAACAGCTAAAATCTGACAATATTAAGGTTATTTCTTTGTTCTTGGACTTCTCATGAAAAAGAGTGTCCTTTGTCCATTTTCTTCCTTCCTATTCTGGTTTATTTTCCATCTTGTCACTTATCACTGCTTGAACGTATGGTACATATTTTTATACTTATTTACTTGTTTATTATTTGTCTCTTGCTGCCAATTGAGGAAGCTCCAAGAGGAAGGGAACATTTTCAGGCTTCATTAACAGAGATCTCACAAGCAATTATGAGCTTTAATGAAAAGAAACATTTCTTAATGGAAAGTGAGTTTAGCTTTTTAAAAAATATTTAATATATATTTCTAAATTGTAAGATTTTCTATTCATTTTATGGCATATTTACCGTCTGATAGCAATGTTCACTTAACAAAGTCAATTTACCAGATCTTATAATATGTATTGATATTCTTGTTTTAATAAAGTGATTCAGCTCAGAGGAGTTTCATTAAGCTTTCAAGGCTTGAGAAGCCTATTTACAAATGCATGTTACGATTTAGCTAGTAATTTTAGGAAATCCATTACCCAGCTATTGCAACGTTTAATTAAAATGGCTTAACATACAATTATATGTTTATTACATTCAATTTTTATTTACATCTGTATTATCAATGTGTGATTATTTTTTAATAACTCTAAATGTGCAATCAACACATAGGCTTTCCCATTAAATGGTTAGACAAGCCATAACAATTGATGCCAACTGGTAGTATCTAACAATCTCAGAAAGCCTTCAATCATTTCCCAATGCCTTCACCTCTCTCTTTTATAAATCCCTGTTCCTTTTCTTGTTCAGATGTTTTAATTTGTTTCTTAACCTTCCTTAATAGGACCCTTAGAGAATCTAAGAAAGAAAATGCCCATCTGCACATACACAGAACACTTTCCACATAATTTATTTTTTTAAATATTTATTTATTTCTTTTGAGAGAGAGAGCACGCATGCAAGCAGGGAAGGGCAGAAAGAGAGAGGGAGAGAGAGAATCCCAAGCAGGCTTCACGCTGTCAGTGCAGAGCTGGATGCAGGGTTCCATCTCACAAACCATTAGACCATGACCTCAGCCGAAATCAAGAGTCAGACGCTTAACCGACTGAGCCACCCAGGTGCCCCCATTTTCCACATAATTTCATTTAAAGAGATTCACAGGGGTACCTGGGTGGCTCAGTCGGTTATGTGTCTGACTTCAGCTCAGGTCATGATCTCACAGTCTGTGGATTTGAGCCTCACGTCAGGCTCTGTACTGACAGCTCAGAGCCTGGAGCCTGCTTCGGAGTCTGTGTCTCCCTGTCTCTCTTCCCCTCCCATGCTCACGATCTGTCTCTGTCTCTTAACAATAAATAAACATTAATTTTTTTCAAATATAAAGAGATTCACAGATCTCTTGGGTCCATCAGAGACCATGTAGGGGTCATGAACTCCAGGTCGGTAGCTCTTGTCTTATCCTATTAGTTTCTCCATATTGCCCTTATAACTGCCTTCATATTTTCGCCAACTTAACCATTCAGGTGACAAATGTGTATGCTAAAGTTGCTAACCCCCTTCATACAATGTTCTGTATGCAGGACCTTAGGAAAAAAATTGGCTATGTACTAAAGATAGAGTGTTATAATAACAGCCACTCAAATAAGAGTTGAGCAATTAACAACAGGAAAAACTGTGATAGGAAGGGGCAAAAAGTTCAGATAGACTATAAACAATCCTTCTTATAAATAAGCTTTATTTAGCAGATATCTACTAACAGCCTTCTATGTGCCTCCTTCACTCACATAACAGATGTCTACTGGCAATGACAATGATCCAGGCCCAGTAGGGGAGAGAAAAATGGAAGAAGTCATCTTTGAAAATTAAATCTCCTACCGAAGTCTATAATATAATTTAGTCTGTTAATGTTTAAGACTGGTAAGTTATACTACAAGTTCATTACTAAAAACAAAAGCTAACACTCTAGTTATAGCCTCTAGAGTCATTAAAAAATTTCCCCCAATCCATTTTTATTCCTCCAAATAAAATCTAATGCTATGTGAATTCCTGGTATAAATTCAAAATCCTGTTTTGTATTAGAAGATAGGAGAGACATAGTTTCCCACCCATAGTTTGTCACTATTTTTTAAGCCAAGTTCAGACACACATGCATTCTTTCTGCTCTGCTGGGGCATCGGGGCAGGATTTCACCTTTCTTCATTTTACAGGTAATACTTCAACTCATAATTTAAAAACAGAGAATAATAAAACTAAACATGACGTTTCATAACAAATATTTGAAAGAGAGCTTCATGGATTGAGTTTTCTGGGTAAGGAATTTGACTAGTATTGAAGGAAAGATTCCCCTTTATTGGGTATTCAAGAGGGAATCGGAGCTCACTGAAGCTGGGAAGAAAATAGAAGCACTAACATTTGCAATAAATAGCTCCGATTATTATTATGACTAAATGAAAGCAAAATGAAAGTTGACATTTCTCTAGTTTACATTAAAGACCTGGCAACGAATAAAGATAAAGGTCTAGTGGGTTTCATAAGTCTGGTATTAAAAATAAAATTACCCTCATTGACAGGTGAAATTGATCTGGCATTTCACAAAAGAAGGTAAATGGATTTTTAAAAATGGTTTCCTTCTCCTTATATAGGACTATTTAAATAATTTAAAAGTTATTTCTCATGGAAATAGAATCAATTTTCTATATGCCTTGAAGCACATTAATGAGAATTCTGAATTTCCTTCCTTCTAGTCAAGTGATAAGTCAAAATAAAAAACCCTTGAAAGCTATTACATTGTAGAAAATACAATTTTCTCCTTGAGAAAGAATAGTTATTGGTTGCTGCTAAATTTAATGTAGGAAATACAAAGTTACTGTGGCCATGCTATCAATAGGAAAATCTCTTCTGTGGTGGTCAGCTAGTAGCACCCAAAGAAAGTTTTAGCTCTGTCACATTTTAACTCAGGAGTATTTAAATCTGTTTTCTCAGTCTCGTGTAAGTCTTGCCTCCATAATGCTTTTTCACTCCAACTTCCTAGTGGAAGTTTTCATTTCGGGTTTTATTCACTGCAATTGCTATTAAAAAAAAAAAAAAGGTTGTTCTGAATGCACTTTTTCTAATAAATATAATCTGGACTACCCAGGTGTCAAAACTACCCTACTTCTACTAGCATATGGAAAGTTAAGGCAAATCTCCCACCACCATTTTGAGTCATCATAGGACTGAGTAAGTGAAATACAGACTTACAAATTTACAAATGATAAATACTTCAAAAATTAAACACAGCAAATGAAAAGAATTGTGTTCAATCAGGGGCACCTGGATGGCTCAGTCAGTTGAGATTCCAACTCTTGGTTTTGGCTCAGGTCATGATCTCAGGGTTTGTGGGTTTGAGCCCCACATTGGGCTCTGCACTGACAGTGCAAAGCCTGCTTGGGATTTTCTCCTTCTCCCTCTCTCTCTGCCCCTCCCCAGCTTGCTCTCTCTCTCTCTCTCTCTCTCTCTCTCTCAAAAAAGAAATAAACATAAAAAAAATGTTTTTAAAGAATTATGTTCAAACATAGTTACCAGCTCCAAACCTAAGTGGCTCTAAACTAAGGTTTTTCTCTTGTATTCTCTTGTATTCCTCTTGTATTGTATTGTAAATTTCTTGTATTTAATATCTCTTGTATTCTCTTGTATTTCTCTTGTATTCTCTTGTATTTTCTCTTGTATTTTCTCTTCTGCTTTGTGCAGTCTATTGTACATTTAATAATTTTATTTCCCCTAATAACCAACTACATCTCTCTGGTAAATGAGAAGCCCTCCATCTCCAGTTCTTAACAATCAGTCACTCCCTGCCCAGCATTATAGTGGGTCTCGGCTGACAGCCTATGTATTTCAAATTATTTCTCTATTTGGTCTTAGTAGCAAAGAGATGGTGACATTCTTAGATATAAAGAAAAAATCAAAACCAAAATCTAAAAGCAAATCTAGTAAAACTTTAATTTTAAAACAGAGAAATTAACTTTTATCTTATGTGGAACCCAACATAATTTTCTATACAAAATTGCTAAGTTATCGTCAAAATCATGCACCTGGATTTATATTCCCTTTAGCTTTTAACGATTAACCAAATTCAGAATCCTGGAAAGCATCTCATCTCACCTTCCTGCAGGGCTGGAGCTAGTGTCTTCATTTTCCCATTGTTCATTTTTACTTCTTGGAACTGGGGGCTGTAGCATTTCAGCTGCTAGTGGGTCAGCATCATTCTCTTCTCGACCAATCCATTCTCCAATCACACGGGGTCTCAGAAGAGAAGAATTAAATGCCACTGTTTCCTAAAGAGGAGAAAAGAATATACTGACTCAGATCACTTATTCTTATTAATAGGACGGCAGGGAAATAATTTTGTCTACAGTTTCAACTACTTCCGTAAATCAAAATGTTCTTTTTCTTTCTGAATTGACTAAAAATTTCCATTTTTATTAGATGACTTATTCTTTGTAATTTGTGCTGACTCCTTTAGGTCACCGTGACAAAGGATCCAGGAATGAAATCTTTTATTTGGAATCAGAAGGCTGCATGTGTGTTCTCAGGAAGGACGAGCTGAGACTAGCATTTGTGACAGAAAGAAAAGTGTGCAGTAAGGCGCACACAGTGAAAGAGCTTAGTGTTACTGGGAAATGATAAAAATTTCTTAGGAGGAAACTGGGGTGAGGTAAGGGAATAAAGTCAAGAGACAGCAGTGGAAGGATGGATTGTCTCCAACTGTGAAACATTTTGGACTGGGAGCCATCCAGTGTAGGTTAGAAGCAGGGCAAAATCAATAACAGGTATGCTAGCTAAACAAAACACGTTAAAGTGATCTTTTTTCATAGACTTGGGTATGATGTGGCTCTTTAAATGATACTTTAACCATTTAAATCATTTAATATTTTGAAAGGTTCTACTATCAAAATAAATAAATAAATTTTAAAAAAGCGATGCCTGGATAGCTCAGTTAAGATTCCAGATCTTGACTTCAGCTCAAGTCATGCTCTTACAGTTTCTGGGTTGGAGCTCTGTGCAGTCTATTGTACATATTGTACACTGGCAATGCAGAGCCTGCTTAGGATTCTTTCTCTCTCCCTCTGCCCTACTCATGTGCGCTCACTCTCTCTCTCACTCTCTCTTTCTCTCTAAAAATAAATTAATAACCTTTGAAAGGTACTCAAATACTAGATGTGAGTCATTGCTAGAGATATCTCAGTAAGTGAGAAAAAAAGGCCAGTTAAAAGCAGTGCCTACTCTATGATTTTAGTTTTGTTTTAAAAATTCATATGGGTGTATATCAATGTTTTGTGCTGATCTCAGCCTATCAATAACCAATGTTGTGGTTCTTATTATGATTGCAAGATGCCCTTCATCAATAACCATCAGGAAGCTCAGAAAAATTAAAAGTTTATTGTTTATAAGGCCTGCAAATTACGCAGCACACCTGGGGCCACACTGTGAGGTCACAGGTTGATGAGAGAGAGAGCTAGCAGAATGTTGGGGTTCCATTTTTATTGGGGTTGAGGGTGGAAGCCTAGGGTTTTGTGGGCTCATTCTATATTGGTGAATTTAAAACAGAAGAATGGGAATTTAAAGCACAAGGAGAGAAAAAACAAGAGGCCCAAATGGTCAGTACTTGAAATCAACCAAGATCTCTAACACCAAAGAGCTTCAGTCAGGGGAGGTGGCCTGGCTCTTTATCTAGTCTACTGTGACTGACAATGTGTTTACTGGAGACAGTCATCTTTGAAGTGGACACTTTGACAATCAAGGTTTAAGTACAGCATTTGCATTACAAAAAGGAAAAATAAAACCAATTGTCAGAGTTTATACTATAATTCATCATTCATACACTAATCCTACTCATTTATTCATTTTCTTATATTTATTAAGACCTACTATGTGCCTGAAACAGCTTGATTTGTTGGGGAAACAATGGTAAGACCAAAATTTTGTGGATTTATCTAAAAAGAGGAACTACAGGTAATTTTAGTTTCTTCTTTGGGTGCTTCCTTCCATGTCTTTGCAATATTATGATTAATAGGAACTCATTGCCAAAAGAATGAGTATTAAAAATATCCTGATCTGAGAAACAGGCTTGCATTAAATTATGTTTGCTATAGTTTTTAGTATGACAAAAGTTTTGAATAATTTCTTAAAGATGCAGACCTGGCCTTCTGAGTTTTTATAATTCTCCAAAATATTATACAAATATAATACAATAAAAATATGGCATAACAATATACAATGTAATATTAATTAATCTGCGAATACAATACCAAAGGCAACATGTGAAATATGATTAGGACATATTTCATGAATATCCAAGTGATATAAAGGGACAGAAAGTAGTTATATATCTTAATATTGATTCTCTAGCTCACATAAAAATATACCAGATAAATTTTAGTAATTTAACAAATAATCAGAATTCCTTCTGTATTTATGTTCCCATAGTCAGGAAATCAAGGAACTATTATGGCTGTCAACTGTGAAATCATGTAATCAAATTACTGTTTTGAAACTACAAGAAAGGCACATTCAGGTATAACAATTTAATACGCTTTGAAGCAAAAGAATTAAAATTAACAGCAATATTGTTAAATTTTAAAACTGTATTTGTTTTTAAAAGCAAGCTGAGGCAAAGTTCTGTTTTAGAATTTTAAAAAATTATAAATACATTCACAGCCTCAGAACCAGTTTTGATCTATGCGTCTGAAATGTTATTTATTTTGTGAATTTCACTTTCTCCAAATGTAAAACAGTGCAGATGGGTATTACAAAACCCACTGTATCAAATGAATTAGTAGGTAGCACAGTTAAACCACAGTTTTCTGTACATATGCTAGATGCGATTATTTAAGGATGTGGACTACGTTAAAACCACTTCCATATTTGTGATATAAATGTGAAGCAAAAGGTGAAAAGAACAGCAAGAATGAGCAAGTTGAGGAAGAGTGGATGCTTGGTTGTGAAAATGCGCGGAGTAACAGAACAGAGATTGATGGGGCAAATTTTGATCCTATGAAGTTTTATTTTATAGATAGACTATTAAAAAGGTTGGATAATTAGTTCAGTGTTATTAACTGCATTTATGTAATGAAGCAGAATTGGGCTTGGAGATTTATGTTATAGGCTCAACAGAGAAGAATGGGGGCAAGAGAAAGGTGTGGGTTTGGGCACTATCGATGAGAAATGTGAAATAGAATTTAGAGTTGAGTGTGATCAAAAGTTGAGAGCTGCAGAGAATTTTCTAGAAATAACTTCCTGGTCGCTTACTGGGAAATTAAATAAAATGATAGATGTCACTGCTGTGGAGAGTAGAGCACTGAGAGAAGGATAAATTGTTTTAACAGTAGCTGAAAGCAGAAATTCGGTGGGAAATAGCTGATGGGCAAAGAAATACAAAGAGCCGCAAAGAAGGTCAGAGGAGTTAGGAAGTTAGCATTTTACAAGTGAAAAAACCGGAACTCTACTTTTCTTATTTATTAGAATGATCAAAGCTCTTTTTATATCTATGCCTTCTTAAAATGTTACATTTATAAAAATTCTTGAATGTAACCTATCTACTTGTAATAGATTAAAACAGCAAATTTTCCTTGGATGTATCACTTATATTTGATTAAGCATAATAAACATAAATTTTTATGAAAGGATTTCAGTGAAGAAAGCAGTTCTTAACACTACATACAATGTACCACAAATATCACTACATAGCAAAAGACATTTTAAGATGCACATTAAAAGCAGTACGTTCTTGAAAATATTTTAAGTACATGGTAAATAATTTAAATGTCAATTCTAAACAATGTAAATACTAATTATTCCTCAAAAATGTGTAAGTACTGGGGCACCTGGGTGGCTCAGTCGGTTAAGCATCCGACTTCGGCTCAGGTCATGATCTCACGGTTTGTGAGTTCAAGCCCCACATCGGGCTCTGTGCTGACAGCTCAGAGCCTGGAGCCTGTTTCGGATTCTCTGTCTCCCTCTCTCTCTGCCCTTCCCCTGCTCCTGCTCCGTCTGTGTCTTTCAAAAATAAATGAATGTTAAAAAATTTTTTTTCTAAATGTATAAGTACATATTCCTTTGCCCTCCCTAAGATCAGAAGTCTCTAGAGTTGAGATTCTTAAGCAAGTCTGTTTAAATTTAATAAGAAAAGCATTTATGGCCAAAAATTCACCCAAGATCACAAATTTGCTTAGTATTTCCAATCAGCAGAAAGCTAACCTATCCAAGAAGAAGTTACAGTAAACCAGGCCTACTCTGTCCAAGTAGCCCGTTCCCACTGGCTAATCCACAATGAATCCAACTGCTCTCACCACTGGTTATCAGTACATGTGATCATATTCCACATTATTTGTTTTCTCTCCTTTTTTTAACTATTTATTTTTTTAATTCCACTGTAATTAACATACAGGGTTATATTCATTTCAGGTGTATAATACAATACAGATTCAAAATTCTATACATTACTCAGTGTTCATTATAAGTGTACTCTTAATCCCTTCAGCTATTTTGTCCATTCCCCCTCCAACATCCCTTTGGTGACCACTAATTTGTTCTCTATATTTAAGTCTTGTTTTTTCTGTCTTTTTTTTTGTTTGGTTTGTTTCTTAAATTCCACATGAGTGAAAACATATGGTACTTGTGTTTCTGATTCACTTATTTCACTTAGCATTATACCCATAGATCCATCCATGTTGCTGCAAATGGCAAGATTTCATTATTTTTTATGGCTGAGTAATATTACACTATATGCCTATCTATCTATATATACCACATCTTATTGATGGACACTTGGGTTGCTTCCATATTTGGCTACTGTAAATAATGCTGCAGTAAACACAGGGGTGCATATACCTTTTCGAATTAGTGTTTTCATGTTCTTTAGGTAAATATCCAGCAGTGGAATTACTGGGTCATATGGTGATTCTATTTTGAATCTTGAAAAACCTCCATGCTATTTTCCAAAATGGCTGCACCAGTTTGCATTTTCACCAGCAGTGCACAAGCATTCCTTTTTCTCCACATCCTCCTTGCCAACACTTGTTTCTTGTTTCTGGTTTTAGCCATTCTGACAGGTGTGAGGTGGTATCACTGTAGTTTTGATTTACATTTCCATGACGATGAGTGATGTTGAGCATCTTTTCATGCTTCAATCTTCGGCTCATTTTTAATTGGATTATTGGTTTTTTGAACTGTATAACTGTTTTTATATTTTGGATATTAACTCCTCATCAGATATGTCATTTGCAAATATCTTGTATTCAATAGCTTGTCTTCTAGTTTTGATGATTGTCTCCTT